CTAGCATAGACATACACAGTATAACATATATTTTCGCGAGGGAATTAACATTCAACTTGAAGCAAAACACCAAAAAAAAACAAGTTTTCAATGTGAAATCCCCACCATGGTATTACGTACCGTGACGCGGGGCCAAGTTGCGGCCTTCGATCGAACACATCATGCGCATGAGTCATAAGTTCATAACAAAAACACTAAGCGAAACTCGACTCGGACTGTCCAGAGCATGTATATTAATTTTCTAAAAGGTGTATAATGATAATAAAAATAAAACTGGTTTTTGTTTTTGAAGTAGACAAACATATTTAGAAATAGCCCGATCTATTTATAGATAATGTTATAAATTAATAATACAACTTATGCCAGCAAAAAGATTTATAAATTGCAAAGGGCGCTTAATCGCCATCACCTTAATTGAATATTCTCTTTATAGATATACTCTCTAACACGAATACTATTTATTTTTAAAATATCAAAAATAAATAGCTTTTAAGTACCATCCGTGTGGTGACGGATTAATAATACGGAGTGCCACCACCCCTGTTCATCCCGAGGGTGTCGTAAGAGTGGACCAAAGTTTAGTAAAGTACGATTCCGTAAGAACGATTTTCTACGGAACTGTTAAGGTAAACGGATCCTACTTTAGAATTCAGTGCCAAACTTATCACACATTCTTAAATAAGATGCTAAAACAAAACTAATGGGGCTAGTTTAGCTCAATGGACGACATTGTACCGTTTTAACGTTGTGTGCCAATGACCGCACTTTTCACACCAATTGTCATTGTTATATGACACTAGACTACTATTGGAATCTTGGATAACACCAAAGTAAGGACACGACTGAACAGAAAAGATAATAATAAGTTTACACATCTCTCCAACGGCAGTCTATTCTCAAACTAGGCAGAGCCTGTGCTATGGTAACTAGACCGCTGATAAACATAGTAAAAGACAAATACCACACGCTGTTTCTCATGTCAAACCAATTGCTATTATATATTTATCAATGTAAGGTACATAATAAGGTCAGCTGTTTAGGAAAAAGCTAGTTAATAATAGTACTGAAGAGTGATAACCAAAATCGTCGTTTTTTAACCCTTGCCGTCAGTGCACTTCGAGTGCATATATTATTATAGTAGAGACAGCGAAAATGTTAAATGTCGTTATCTTTAGCAGAGCCAAAGAGCATCAATTCCTGCCATGTGATGGTCAGGGTTAAGGTTGTGACCGAATAATGATAGACGCGGGTATTATTTTAACTAAAAACTTTACATAAAACCAGTTGAGAGAAAAGTTATGATCTACAATGATGATTAAAAGAGTACAAATAACTAAATGATTATTAGATAAACATGCTGAGACAGTGGAGTATGTAGGTTCTCTGAGCGGTCTTTAACGCCATCTCTATTACAGAGATCTCTGAGTCTCTACTCACACTTTGATTAAATAAAGTCATCTATTTTTCTTCACTGTAACTTTTCTATGAAATTAGAAATTTGCACTTGCGAGTAATACCATATAATCCATACTTATATTATAAATGTGAAAGTGAGTTTGTTTGTTTTTTACGCTTTCACGGGTGAACCAATTTTAAAAGTTCTTTCACCGTTATCAGTGAGTTCCATACACGCGGGTGGAGTCGCAGGCAAAGCTAGTCTCAAAAAAAAGACTAGAGAAACTTCTCCAAGTCTTTACTTGGGGATGCCCACGTCGTTAAGTCAATGTAATGTTTTTATTTGAATCTTATCGCGATGTCTATAAGCTTTATGTATCGCTATCAATAACAAATTGAGAGTACGTGATAAAAAAAATCTAATGCGTATCTTATAATGTTACCTAATACATATTAAATTAAACTAGATGCACGTCTTGATAGTATACGATAAGCCAAGATACCTAAATGATATAGTTATCATAATATGTATAGGTACAAGTTAAAGTACAAAGCATTGTATTTACTTAATGGCAAACAGGAATGATCTTTAACCGTAGCTCATAGAAAGAAACAATTATTGTCTTTTCTTATGACAAAGGGACACAAACGAGCAGACGGGTCACCTGATAGTAGACAATGGGCAAAATCACACTGAACGGTGATTTATCATTAGGACTTTTCGTACGTAGGTTAGGGTTACTACTTACTCACGAGTTGTTGCCAATAAGCTGTTTTCAGACAATGCATAAAGACCTTATTTCGCCTATTTTACAGTAAATCTAGTAACTATTTTATTTTATATAATTATCATTCCCTACGTAATAATTAAAGAAATACTTGATTTACTGTTAAATAGCGTCTAACCTATCAACCCTAACCTACGTATGCAAAAACCGAATGATAGATCACAGTTTACTGAGATTTTGTCCCGTGTCTACCTGATAGTAAGTAACTACCGCCGCAGAGTCATTAGAGCATTGAAGCCACGGATCAAATACAAAGAGGAGAGGGCAAGCAAATAAACAACTGTGCACTGTGATAAATATTAAGTAACTATGTTTGAAAATCATATCACTCTTTTTCTCCGTAGTGGGGGTGACAAAAGGATAATAAGATAAGCTGTACACATAAATTTAGATGAAATAATAAATGAGAGAACAAATAATCGTCATTCGTAATTTACCAAAAACGTTTTATTCTCACACTTCTCACACCCATTTTTATAATGAGTAAGATTTTTGATTTCTGTGTATAATATGTATGTATTTACAAAAAAAAAGTGGTATATTTATGTATTTAAATCAGTTGTCTAGTACCCATAGTATAAGCTCTGCTTAGTTTGGGAGTAGATGACGGTTTGTGAATGTGGTAGAATAGTATGCAGCCACACCCAGCGTGAGCTCCAGCGGCTGTATACCGAGCCGTGCCAATAGTTTTACGTCACGTGTCCGTCCCCTACGATAATCTGATGGTCGAAAATATGTGATCGGGCCGCAACATATTATAAAGATTGGGCCGATAGGCGGGAGAAGCCCGGAGATTAACCGGAATAGGGATTTACTAGGCGCGGCGACGATTCGGGAGGGACCTAAAATAACATGGTCCAGGTCTTCCTCCCGGATTCCGGCCGTCGGGGGGGTTTTTAGCGGAAACACCACATACTACTGGCTCCTACAACCCTAAGGAGCCGGAGATCCAAAGGGCTTTCCACCCCTTCAACACTAGACGATCACGTGTGGTGACGGATTAAAAATACAGTGTCAGCTTCCCTATCCGTCCCGGGTGTCTTAAGAGCCGATTAAGGGAGCAAACTACGCAGGACAACAGCACTGCAAAAAGAAGGAAAACTTAAAACAAACCTTATACCAACACGTCTGACCAGCGTGGCATAGTAGGCTAAAAACTCTTTTCTAAGGAGAGGTCTATGTCCAGCAGAGGACTATTAAAGGCTGTTGGTGATGATGATGATTTTTAAAACATTTTATTTTTATTACCTATTCAATCTTAATAAATAAACTATATGTTAGTACCTATTTGTTACATATATTTTGTAGATAAGGAGTTAGTACAACACTATCATCGTATTGCTGGTAAGTTTTGAATTTTAAGATCTTTTGTGCAGTGCGCGGTACTTCCCCGATTGAGCGAAAACGCCCATTCTCGTATTTCTTGTGCTCTGGCGTTCTGCATAACTAGCGTTATTGAAGATGAAAAGAGGGACTGGTCATAAATAATATATTTTTTGCGTTTATTAAATTACTGAATACCATTTTTTACATTTATTAACAAACCGACTAAATGTGAGCTCATATAAGTATACACGTCATTATAAACAATAGTGCGATTGATCTAATCAAGACGTCTGAGGCTACTGTTTTGTCACTTTTTACGACTAAACTAAAGCTAGTCCATACATTCGTGACATTTTTAGTCACAAAAATTAGATACAGAAAAAAATTGTACTGTTTTGTGATAAGATACTAAAGTTCACTGATAACTGAATAGAAAATTATATTCAGCATACATCACGTTACACAATTCTATTGTGCACATTATTCTGATGTGCGTTTCAAGGGCAACTGTTATGGATAATGGGTGGAAATCCCGCAGCGAATATCGTACAAGTTATGATTAAGGAGTGTCTGCAAACCAGTACAATTTGTTTATTTATTTAACTGCCAAAATAGTTTGTATCACCACTAAAGTATGTGGAGAATACAATTGAATAAAAAGATTACTATTTATAGATAATTACCGAAATATTGGAGTTAAATTATTAAACTGAATAGACAAAAGCACGTTTATGGGGATTTACGAAAATACTGCGTCAGCACGCACTACAAATACCAATGACTGCTACAAAACATTACTAAAATTAACAAATTGGTTTGTATGTTGTCTACAGACACACCGACCAGACATTAGTTGAAGATCTCAGACAACGTGGATCTCTCTTAGGTGGATCTATCTTAGTATACAGGAGCTTAGGATTTTTGGAACTAGATGAGTGGACAGTAGGGGCAGCGGTAAATTAAAGTTACGGTTCATCTGGTTTGAGACTAAGTAGCACGAGAAATCAGCATTAAGTTTCAACCTATTAATAGTCCTATCTTTTTCCTACTGCGAATATTACCAACTGTTGACAGTGATGTAGAGAAATTCTCATTTCTTTTGATTTCATTGTTTTTAATTAGAAAATACTTCAATCTTTTCAATCGTTTCAGTAACTCTTTTTGTTTAATTTTAAACGTTTCGTATGAATTAATTGCGATTATTTAAATGTTTAAAAATTAAATATATATACTATGCATTATTTACTACAAGTCTTACCTTCTTCATGTATAACTAGGCCAATATCTATCCTATAAATAAATCGACTCACAAATTCCGTCATTTCAAAAAAAAGTATTATTTTACTAAAATGTTGCGTGGACAGGATATGATTACCATTTATTATACATATATCACTCGAAGATGTTTACATACCGGAAGTCAATCGAACTCGTAGACATTTACTCAAATTGTTTACAATTTCCTTATTACAAGATTAAATTAAACCTCACCTGTGCGTGCCTAAGCTGGTTGACGAGAGTGGAGCATCTCTCCGGGTCTTTACGGCCATCAAACGAGTCCAACTCCGCCGCGACCATATTCAGAGCGTCGTCGGCGAAGAAGAACTGAGCTAGAAGTGACCGGTCGTCCCTCTGCAACAAGAAAAAAACATAAATTAATTGAAATAAACATAAACAATATTTAATATCCTAAATTAAATCATAATGGTGTGGTTATCTAGTTCTCACTTTTCATCAATTTACAATTTTCATAGTTGTTGGGATCTTGTAGTTACTGTACTGAGTAACTTCCGAAGTACATAATCGCAAGTCCAACGTTTTAGGCCTTACACTACCTAGATTAAATTAAATATTGGTTGTCTATAAAGTCCTATGAACTAACAACTTGCTTGTGAATTATTCGATGTTAAGTATCTATTTTTTCGCATTGCCTTGTAATTTTCTCAAAAAAAATAAAAGAGTACATTGCACAGTTGTGTTCATACCAATGTGAGCAAGGTAATCTAAACGTTGTGCGTAAAAACCTACTTAAGAGATAAGACCTTTTCCTTGAACACTGTTTAGAGGTATCTCGCACATCTCGTTGATTGTGTCCTTCTATGTATTTTCCTATATGCACAACGTCTCGAAACATAATGTAGGTACTTCAAATCTAAATGAATGATAAATTACTTGGTTAGTTACTATCAGTATCCTAGTAGCATCTATCCCTAAGGCTCGTCTTTACACGGCCATGCTCTGGACAGGGTCTACGGGTAAGCAATTCCGGTTTCTTACGACTGCTACTTGCAGTCTCACTCTCATTCTGAAACTTGCGGTATCCGTTAACCCTATATCCCTCACGCAACCCTTTTTCATACACTAATTTACTTTTTATCTTTATCCAACCTAAAAACAGACACACATCCCGAACATACAAACTCACCAACTTTACCTCTCTATGGTATTAGTATAAATTTTTGACAGAAATACAAGAATAGCCTTAAGCGTGGGGTCATGCATATATTTTCGTTTGAACAAAGCTGTAATGTAGGGTAGACATTTATTGAAATTAAGCCTTTTACTTTTCAAGTATCAATGCTAAGAAAAAAAAAGTAAAAAGTCTTTGAATATAAATCTATAAATTGACGGCAGTACTAATAAAACAGACAATATATTACAGATGACAAAACCAGACATAAATACACGATATGGTTGTTACAAAAGCGTGAGACGAAATCGTCGTAAGACCTTGAGCAGGACAAAGATAGGGCATTTGACGCAGAACAAATTCAAGTTCGAGTGTGTTCAAGCGATACCAGTGCACGGGACGGAAATATTGTTATTTTGGAAATAATTTTGCCAAACCATATCATATTCATACCACATTAATGTAATTGATGAAGGATTGAGACTAATTTGAAACGACAATAATTTGTGATTCGATACATTATTTTCTGCATGTCATATTGTAGTTATTTTTACACTTATTTAAGTACTTTTATGTGTGGAAATAACTACAATTGGTCAGATTTAACGCAGACGTTTCACCTAAGCCTTAACGGCGGGAGTTTCCGAAGTTATTTCTACAGATATGAAGTTGTGTACTGTGTGTTGTGTGTTGTGTAGTGAACTTCTTTCCTCCTTGATATACTCGTAATAATATTTCAGCTTTGATGGCCGAAGATGTCATAGCTAGTGATAACAAAGTTAATTTTTTGTATGTTTCGCAGTGTTAAATTTCAGAAGGCGCCATTATGGTGCATTTGGAAATACAACATTGTGAAATTAAACTCTTCATTTGTAGAAACGAATTTAATATTTCGCTTATTCATATGTGCCACGAGAATTCGTAACTCCTATACCATAGAACTCGATATATCAGTTACCATGCCAAATGACGGGCCTATTGGTCTAGCGGTTAGTGACCCTGACTGCTAAGCCGGAGGTCGGGGGTTCGATTCCCACCCAGGACAAATAATTGTGTGATGAGCACAGTCATTTTTTCTATGTCTAGGTGCAATTTATTTATAATATGTATTATTTAGAAACATATAAGTATGTTTATCAGCAGTCTGGTTACCATAGTACAGGCTATGCCTAGTTTGGGATCAGACTGCCATGTGTGTGTGGAATTATTATTATATATACGGCAGGCCGCTACTCAAATTACGAGTATATCAAGCCTTTATAGTTCAACTGCTATATACCTATATAATGATCTGCTTATATTATACGATGTGTTGTGACCGATTAAGAATACGGAGTGTCACCACCCCTACTCATCCCATGGGTATCGTAAGAGCCGACTAAGGGAGCAAACTACGCAGGATAACAGCACTGCAAAGAAAAGGAAAACTTGAAACAAACCCTATGTCAACCCGTCTGGTCAGCGTGGTATAGTTAGCCAAAACTTCCTTTCTAAGGAGAGGCCATGCCCATCAGTACACTAGACATAAGGCATTTTTCATCATGATGATGATTTTATAAGCTACTATTATTAAGTTATAATTACTGTTTTCTTATTATGTATTTTTAATGCCACTATCTTATACTTTTCTACAGCACATTAAGACTAAAACTTAAGATTTCATGTAAAATAGATAAATAGTAGGACTAACATTATCAACGACGCTCAAGTTGAAGACCACGTCAAAACAGATCATATAAAAATTGCGTATGTCTGTATACTCTAACCTCTAGGGCAAACTAAGGTTGCCTTGTAGACTCTTAGGACAGAAACAAAGAAAAACCTAAACAATGCATTAGTATGCGTAATCTTCACCTTCACCCGATTGTACTAGAGGGATGGTTACGTTTTTTGTGTGTATGATGTATAAGTCTTTGGCATTTAGCCTGGATGGATGGATCTTGGCGTTTGAGGTGGCATTAGACTCATATTAATCTTAAGGCTGACACTGGGTAAACTGGGTTCTTTTGGTTATTCGCTTGTTTACTTATTCTTTAACTAATTTGGCTAGGTCTAAACGAATATAGTTTCATGCACCTCGGTCGAACAACCTCAATTGCGACGTGCCTGAAATGTAGGATTAAATATTTAGCTAATGGAATAATTAGTGTTAAAATTTATTATTGCCGTTTAGCTGTCGAAACCAGGTCATTAGTGAATATCAATTTGTTAGTAACACGCCTATTTTAAATAGGTTATATAACAACATGATGTCAGCCTTTAGGGAGATCTATAGACCCTGATGACATCATTCATCCTTTACCTCACCTCCGAAGCGTCTAGAAGAATGTTATACAGTTCTAGTTACATTTTGACAATGTGTATTAGAATATGACAGTACGACGTGATGAATAATAAACATGCATAATAAGTATGCTTGCTACTTCAGACGTGTATTTAAGAGAATTTCCTGACATAATAAAACGTTACGAACGTTAAAAGGCTTGCCTCTAGTATATGGGGTAAAATAATAATTAGTATGAAACACCTCTGCCCACCCCTAAGGAGTATTTCTATTTTGTTTAATGGACAAATCCCTCTTGGTATTTTTTTAAGTCTTTGTTAGGAGAGTTATTGAAGACATTCTTAGGATTATTTCAAAAAAATAAGTCTCATAAAATATGTAAATAGTACGACAATATAAGCAGTTAGATTTGATGAGTTTAATCTATGAGAAGAAAATCTGGATATTTTTACATAAAGTAAGGCGTTTTAAAGCAATTGGAATGCATGTCATCATCAATCATCATCAACAGCCTATACTAGTCCACTGCTGGACATAGGCCTCTCCTTAGAAAGGAGGAATGCATGTACATGAATGTAATTTAATCACAGAAGCAGGATATTGGAGCGAACACTGTGCACTTTTTAAGGTCACTGGGATATTATTTGTTAGTTGTAGTCCTTGGCTTCGCAGATTTCCTCTCTAAGAAAACACGCTAACTCTGAGAAAAAACGCGTTGAACTGTCATCGTACTCTATTAAAGAAGGCAATTTTGTTAATTGACAAGATAATAAAACTATTTATCGGCATTAAGACTCTTTGGTTACTTACTTCGACTAGGGCTATCATAAAGTTCTGGAAGCATCGGACAATAAACAATTTCCAGACGAAGATGCAAACAGCAATATGTATAGAAAGTGTCAACCGACCTAGTATTCGAAATTGGAATATAAATAACACAAGTATTTCGTACCTAATGAATATTATCACTGGGGCAAAGAGCAACAATTTTATCTCAACATTACATAAGTAAACGACACTGCAATTGTCAAATAAAGTGGCACTTGAAGTGGTAGCTTCTTATTTGTTGTGAACCACTTACGTAATACAAGTATAATCTTATTCAATTAAAGCGGTTATATATAAGTAAAGAGATTTCTTTGATATTATATAAATAAAAACTAGGATTAAGTGAACGGAGCGAGATCAAGGCGACAGACGTCACACGCTTGAATTTGTCACTTTCAAAGCTATTTTACATAACCGTAGTTAAGCGGATATAGACCATAACACTTTGGCTTAGGGTGTTGTTGAGCAATGATGCCATGCAAATTAACTTGATTATAAGAAGTTGTGCAAATAAATAAAATATTATGTATTAATAGGACTGTTTGTGTCAATTGAATCGTAGTAGAATTTCAGGAAAGACAAATAAACATTTAATCTGATTGATTACGTAACTATATTAAAACTGCGCTCATTAGATAAATAGGTTTACAATGGATATTACGATTTTGAGTGATTGATGAATCAGTACGATCAATGGGATATTGACAATTGAACAAAAGAACGTTCACGACGATCATGTTAATCACGCTAATTATTTAATGTGGTATATTGGCGAGTTATTACGGGGTCATCTATAGGATTAGTTGATACAGAATTTATTTTAGTCTGCCATCTAAATTGGAACTTTGTGTTTTAAAAAACCGCCGCATGTATGTTTATCCGTTTACTAGAAGCCACAATTTCAGAAGCCTAATTTGGCTTTAAATAGGGATGTGTAATATGTCGCAGAACATTATAATATATTATTATAATAATAATAATAATAATAATTTGTTATTTAAAGTAAAGATTTACAAAATTTGTTTAACAATGATAGCCACACTAGGCTTAGCCTGTATCGAGGCTATCAATATAAAAACGATTATACATTAGGACAGTAGCAATAATAAT